AGGGATATACGGTGTGAAGTGCGTTCGTAGGTGGGGAATGTGAGGGAAGGGGATCGGCCGGGATTAAGAGTTATCAGAAAGTACAAAGAGTGTTCATTTGCCATCTGATAATAATTGGAAAAGTTATCGCGGAAATGAAGTTTCCTTGGGCGACTAACATTTTCCTCCGGAACTATTCCGGTAATGTAAAATGGAGAGAAACTTTCGCATCGGGGAATAACCTTCTCTCTTTGTCGATCCAGCGAACCGAGCAACCAACCAACCAACTAAGGAACCAACCAACCAACCAACCAACCAACCAACCTACCTACCAACCAACCAACCAACCAACCAACCAACCAACCAACCAACGGCAACTTAGAATGTAGCTTCCGCGCGCGCAATCGCTACTTTTTGAATGATATTACTTTCTTTCCGGCGCAAATTCCCGACGATTGCCTTCGCGGTTTCTTCGGTGAATTTAAATACGCGAAGGCGATTTGTCTAAAAGAATATATATGCAAGGGATGAGAGGGGAGAGGACGATAAGGAGTATATATATATAAGGAGATCAGTTAGAGAGTTGAGTAAAAGAAAGAGAGAGAGAGAGAGAGGAAATGAGATTAATGGAACACTGGATCAAGAATATCACTCTTTACGAATAATGATCCTGCATGCTCCGGGATAACGAATTCTAGTATCTCGATCTTAATACATCATGTTTCTGTCGCTTGTAAAAAAGGAAGTACCATGTACACATGATTTCTAAAAGTGTCGCGATGGTAATTTCTATCACGAAATATTGAATATTGACGTTGTCCCTCCTCTCGCTAAATGTCGATATATTATTGTTTTAAAACTTTATCGACAATTATCGACAAACGAGAAGAATGTTTTATATATATATATATATGTATGTATTTTTTTTTCTTTTATCCATATATATATATATATATATATATATATACATATACGTATATGCATGTGTGTGTGCAAGCTTTCATACACGAACGATCACTTTTTATCCGATAATACATTTTTCTTTTCATCGATTCGATCGTGTATTATTAATCTATTTAACGTAACAGAGCAGATGATTGACAACTTTCGAAACTTCAACGAGGACGTTGTAAAACGATCGTTATTTATCATCGTTAGAGCGGAGGTTAGACGAGAAACCACAACTACTACTACTACCACTACTACTACTAGTAGTAGTAGTGGTAGTAGTATTAGTAGTAGTAGTAGTAGTACTACTATTACTTACACTATTACTATGGAACGTGTGAGCTTGGTGGCTGCTTGCCGTTGCGAACAACAACGAAGTAATCTCCCGTTAAGTTTGATACTTGCGTGAAAATGGAAAATCGACAGATATGCCGAAGTTTATGCGGCGGGGACCGGCGTACCGTGAATCCGACGTTTTCATTACGCGGACAAATCGAATTTCGTTGCGATTGTATTACTTTGCCACCTCGCCACCGCTATTTCCATTTTAGTTAACTACCAGGGAATATAGCGTTTGCCGTTTCCCACGGCCGACTATGGGAGAAAGAGAGAAAGAGAGAGAGAGAGAGAGAGAGAGAGAGAGAGAGAGAAAAAGAGAACACCGAGAAAGTGAACGAACACCAGTCGCTCCACCTACTCGATATATTCCTACGAATCTCAAAGTCCTCCTACACATTCACCTCCGTTCATTTGCGATATTTACGAGAGGATAAGAGCAACCAAATCGATAATTCGAAAGGAAAAGAATTTTCCGTGGAAAAGCGCCTTTCCTCTAAAAGCACGTCGCCGTTCCGTCTATACCGGGGACGAGCGAAAGGGAAATAATCTGATTGCAGCTAGCCAGTTTCCTCGATACTCTTTTCTCTCTTTCTCTCTCTCTTTCTCATTCTCTCTCTCTCTCTCTCTCTCTCATTTTCTCTCTTTCTATCATTTTTTTTTCCTTTCTCTCTTTGTAGAAAGCTTGCCTTTCTTTTTTTTCTTTTTCCTTTTTTTCTTTTTTTTTTCTCTTTTTTTTTTTTTTTTTTTTTTCCTTTATTATTCCCCTTTCGTATCCAAAAGAAAAAATTTTTAACTTAATCCAGCGAAGGAGGTGCGGGCGGGAGGGGAGAGGAATTTAAGTGGGGAGAGGGACAGAGTAAGATCGATTTCGAGCAGTTAAACTCATTGAGAAATTATTTAACGAAAACTCAATAAAATGTTCAATGATAAAGATCAAACTTCGAAGGTGTCGAAGGATTGACAATTTAACTTCGACAGTATAACTCAAATCTCCTAAATCGATTTGCAGCGATCTCCAAGTCGAATATAAAGAAAGTAAGTACTTACTTACTTACTTACAAGGATATCGATATCGGTACTGACTCACGGTAGAATGAATCTCGCTTTCCGACGATACGTCATCCTGTCTTCGCTCGGCTTTAATAATTCAAACGCGATACTAATCACGAGTAACTCGAGCACCGATTCCTCTTACGTCAAGTTACAGAACGTAGAATTTTCGCTGTTCCGCCAAAAGCGTCGTTACTTCCGACGTTTACTGCTTTTCTTGACGTCTGTGTTATCAATCTGAGATAACATCGAGAAAAAGTAAAAGAGAGAGAGAAAAAGAGAGAGAACGTGCACGTGTGCGCGCGCGTATGTATATATATATGTGTGTGTGTGTGTGTGTGTGTATATGTGTGCTGACACGTTTTATCAAAATTTCAATCAATCCTTACAACAATTAAAATGAAATTAACGATCGATGAACCGAATTCGTTATTCCTCGTTTTTCTCATTGAAAACAAACGTCGAGTTGCGTTTTGGCGACTTTCCAATCAAACTTTTCCACCCACGATACTTCTCTCTCTCTTTCTGCATCTATCTATCTGTCTATCTCTCTATCTATCTATCTCTCTTCCTCTCTCTCTCTCTCTCTCTCTCTCTCTCTCTCTCTCTCTCTTTTGGACACACGTTCTACGTCGTGTCCGTGTTGCGTTTCTGCATTTGGCCGGAAGTGATTTTTCGCAATCAATAACTTCACTGTTTACATACCGTGTCCTCTCTTTTCCCTTGTAGTTGCATTTGTTTCAACTGCACCCTTCTCATCCTGCACCGGTTACTCCTAACTCTCTCTACCCCTTTCTCTATATCCCTTCCCCTTCCTCTATCCCTTTTCCTTCCCCCCCCCCACCGTCACACATACTATACCAACATCACCGCAACCCCAAACCATTACTTTTTCGCTCGACCAACCTTCCTCCTCCTTCTCCTCTTCCTCCTCCTACCATCCTCCTTTTGCGGGGGCACGCCGTAATTACATTGCACGTACCTACGCAAAGACCTTTGCGGTTCGTCTCTCTCTCTCTCTCTCTCTCTCTTTCTCTCTAGCTCGCTCTGTCTCTTTCTCGCTCTCTCTCTCTTTATTACTCTCTCTTTCCTTCCACTTTCACGTGTTTCAATGGCTACTCCTTTCCTTTCACTCCTTTTCACAAGAGCTTTTCGACGATCTAAATTTATTGGAATCATACTAGAATACGATGCCCCTCGAGTGGAAACAATAAACGATTGACGCCGCGTGCTGCCGGATTGCAATTGTTCTCCGTCTCTTTCCGCATGCCGAGCTTTGTTGATTTCTTTCTTTTTATTTTTGTTTTATTCTCTCTCTTTCTCTCTCTCTCTCTCTCTCTCTCTCTCTCTTTCTCTTTCTCTTTCTCTTTCGATCCTGAATGAAACCCATCGGAACGTATATCATCTCTTTTACTCTCTTATTCTTTCTAATTTATCTATAATATATAATATAAGCAAAATTATTTTTTAAATTATTCTTTAGAAAATTTTTATCTTGATTAATTCGAGATTATCTTTCAGATAATATTTTCTTTTTCAATAATTACAAATTATTTTCTCGATAATTAATTACTGTATAATATTAGATTATTTCTTAGATTATTTTATTTTGCTAATTGTCCGTTGTCGTTCTCATTTTTCGATTACATTCTCTCTCTTTCTTTCTTACAGTCTAATCTAATATAATATTCTGTTCTTTGAAAAGATATATTCCAAAAGATATTCATATTTTTTATATATAACTCGTTTTAAAATCAAAAATTATTTTGACGGGTTTTGCGATGGCACGAAATAAGGTCGTGCATTGACTCAACGTGTCAAGTGTCTTCTATTCGTGTTACAAGGAAGAAAGTGATGTGAGAACGAAAAAGAGACAGAGACAGACCGAAAAAGAGAGAGAGAGAAAGAGAGAGAGAAAAGTTAAAAAAGATGAGAAAAGGGAGATATGTTAGCGGTAAAACGAAATTGCGAAGACATACATTTCTACCAAGGACTTCCATTCGCGTTTTCGAAAAAGAATCGTTTTGATACGATGCGACATTCTGTAAGAGAGAGACAGAGAAAAAAAGAGAGAGAGAGAGAGAGAGAGAGAGAGAAATGTGAGCGAGTACCCATCCACGTGGCCATCATCGTAAAAAGAAAATACAATTCGATGCACGGTAGACGACGAAGCGAAACTTTAAATGCATTTCGAAAGTTACGTCGATATATCTTGAAGTCTTCCATAACGCAAGGCTCTCTTTCACGTTTATATTTCACGTTTATAAAACAAATACTCGATGTTATACCACGTATATTGACAATGTCTATCTTTGTTTCTCTTTCTCTCTCTCTCTCTCTCTCTCTCTCTCTCTCTCTCTCTCTCTGCCTCCGTCTCTTTTTCTCTTTTTATATTTTATTTCGTTTGTAAATCAAAATAATGTATAAATCTTTTCGTATGGATATACATATACATACATATACATATATATAATTATATATATATATGTATATGTATGTATATGTATATCCATACTATATTTATTTGTATTTCATCAATTCGCTTTATTCAATATACATAATTATATTTTTTGACATTCGAAAGATTTTCTAACCGGTATAGACATGTGTATGTGTGGATGTGTGTGTGTGTGTACCAAAGAAAAACAAAGATTCAAATCTCAAATGATTTTCTTTTTTATTGCAGATGTGAAATGTTGCCAGAAGTATTATCGCAATACGTACAGAGAGTAATTGGAAATCGCAGCAAGGGGAAGGTGAGTTTCGATAAACTGCTTCATCGTTTTATCGGGAAATCGTTATGTATCCATTTTCTATTCAAATTGACTGGAACATGTGCCGGCTAAAGTGAATGAAGAAATGAAAATAAAAAAAAAAAAAATAAAAAAAGAATATATATATATATATATATATATAAAATGTAAGAAGGAAAAAGTATGAAGAAAAAAAATGTGAAGTAAAAGAAGGGAGGAGGGGAAAAAAGAAAAAAAAGAAGATATAATAAAAAATCGTTAGCTCAAACGAGCATAAAGATATTTCATGCAAAATTCTCAATCCATCTACGATCGCGTCTCTGTATTTTCCTCTCGTTTGCAAAATACATAAATAAATAAATACATGCATATATATTTTACGTTATTTCGTTCAATTTCACGTACTGATTATTATCGGATGTTGCATAATATGATAATTGAATATTTTCACGTGCAAATAAATGTCAATCGTATGTAATACGATAACCGATAGCAGATAGCATTTTGATCAATACCCGCTTTTCTTGTTTCTTTTTGTTTTCTGTTTCAGGGCGCACGTCGTTCCTCGCTTCGAACTCCAACAGTTGCGATCTCTTTTTTCTCACTACTTATTATCAAGAAAATATTTCTCACACTAATCCAGAATTATATCCTTTTCCCGATAAAATACACATACATATACACGTATACACACATACAAACACACACACACATACGTACACGATGTCCAAACATAAAAAATAAAAACGATTTATTCGTATTTTTGAGAATCGTGATATAGCTTCGTAGTGCGCAAGTGTAATTAGAGCGAAAACGAAAAAAAAAAAAAATTAAAAACAAAAAAAAAAAAACCAAAAAAAAACCAAAAAAAAAGGAAAGAAAAAATAAATAAATAAATCATTAAATAAATAAATGCAACCACGATTATATCGCGAGGAGCACAAATTGCTACCTTGCATCTTGTATTTGCAACGAAATAACCTTTTTCTCTTTCTACTTGACGAAGACATCGTAGTTTAATCAATCGATTATTCATTAAAAATACAAAAAAAGAAAAAAAGAAAAAAATATAAAGGAAAAAAAAATGAAAAAAAAATTAAATAAATAAATAAATAAATAAATAAATAAATAACGAACGTTCTTCGAGAATAAGTAATAGATAACTCGTTTGAAACTCGAGACGGAGATTTAATGTAAATAGTCACGATTTTGTATATTTGTAATATAGATAGGTCATTTTATTATAAACACAATAAAGTTATTTATATATATTTTAATCACAAAAATCAAGCATTTTAATAATTTATTTTTATCCTTTAACTCTTCCTACATATATATATATACATATATTTTCACTATGTTCATTAGTATTCATTATGACAAAAGCATTACAAACAATCTGAAAGGACTATGCTATATATACTCGAAAGCTTCTTGAAACTACTCTTATATATAGCATAATATATATATATATAAAGCATGTTGTGTAAGCCCTTAGTAAAGCCTTACCCGATATTTTCAACGTTCCCAACGTAGTACAAGACGGATCGACGAGCGACGTAAATTGCACGATCTAAGCGGCTTCCCTCGACTTTCTCGATCATAAATCATCCGACGTAACTTGCAAGTCGTTGAATTAAACACTTTATCGAAGAAAGGAATCTTTCTTTCTCGAGAGAACACGTCGCGTGCACGCGTCAAGTAAAAATCACTACTACGCGAATCAACGTGGGAGATAGGAAGACGAAGGGTAAGGAAAGGGGTTTTGGGATGAAAAAGGAACAAATACGAATACTTTTATCTCTCAAATCGGTTTTCTTCCCGTCTATTCTCATGAAATAAAAGGAGCAGTTCTATCATCTCGATCAACTACATTTCTCTTTTTCTCTCTCTCTCTCTCTCTCTCTTTTTCTTTCTCTTTTTGTTCCTTAAATCGTGACTAAAGTCAGCCGAGCATGTTTTTAAAAAAGGAAAAATTCATGATTCTTTCTACTCTCCTCTTCTCTTATGAAGATTGAACATTCTTGACAGATTTATATTCGCGAGAATGGACCATTGGTTTTCATTGGCCAAGTGACTGGCGGGCAAGTTGTAACGTTGCCCGTTGCCTCGCTAGTACTACGACAAAATGCAAAAGAAAATGCTGAACTACGATGGTAAGTTAAATATAACTGACGATACATAAATACATACGTATGTACAAACATACATGCATATATATATATATATATATATATGTATGTATATAACATGGATATGTACGTGCATACATCGGTGACATACGCCAGTGGAAATTTTCTACGAGAGAAATGCTTGGAATATCCAAACATGGCAAATGCAACTTGGCGAAATATTCGTAATACGTATTTATAAAATCGAATGGGGTCTAGTGTCTTCATTCTTTCTATAAACGAAAGAAAGAAGGTACGAA